TTAAGATGAAAAGCTTTATGTATTCCCCAATTGTAAGTCGCTTTGGATAAAAGCATCTGCAAGATGAATCAATGTAAATGTAATGTAAATGGTTTTAATAAAATGTAAATTAATAACAGTCATAATAAGCAAACATATTTCCAGTACGCGCCTCAGGCTTGCACAGTATCGTCAACTCACTCATCAGAGTCCTCGGTAATACTCGGCAAACTCCGCCATTGCTCATTCGGTTCTTGTTGAGTCCTCGGTAATCCTCAGCAAACTTATTTTGAAATGTTATTTATTTTTCATTTTAAACAGTATATATGATTACTCAATGGTAATACAATATTTGTGAACACAACTGTGTACGTCAGACCATAAATCCCCAGAAACTATGCATGGGGGCTTGCTTTGGTGTTGCCACCCCAGCCCACCCCAGCTTCACATCGAAGCACAAGCAGAGTCTTATACTGTGAGAATGAATCATGATGCTGTTATTCAGACTGCGGAACATCAGCGCCACCAGCTGGACTATACAGACTATAACTACATATATTTCACAGTTGTATTTTTCCCTAGTTTGTAATCATTTAAATGTTCAACTATGGTTTTTTGTGCATTTCTGCAGTATTCAGATGTCATGAGTTTAGCAGTTATTAGAGCGGAAACCTCAGGAAGCTTGACAGCAAACAGACACTGAGACTGATGAGTCTGCTTTTGAGTGATTTATTTAGAGTTATTACAGAAACACAAGAGCTCTGCTGATATATTCAGTGTTATCAGCAGACAGACAGTGTGTGTGTGTGTGTGTGTGTGTGTGTGTGTGTGTGTGTGTGTGTGTGTGTGTGTGTGTGTTCTGTAGTGTTTGAGTGTGTGTGTGAGTGTGTGAGTGTGTGAGTGTTTGAGTGTGTGTGTGAGTGTGTGAGTGAGTGTGTGTGTGTGTGTGTGTGTGTGTGTATGAGTGTGTGAGTGTGTGTGTGTGTGTGTGTGTGTGTGTCAGATTCTTTCACTTGTTTCAGGTTTAAGCATGTTAAACACAACTGAACAGCTGAAAACAGCTGTATTGCGTTGCAGAATACACTCATATTAAAGAGACGATTATTGAAAACAAGCCAGAACATCTCATGCAGAGTTGCTTGTAGAGTTGTGCTGATAGACTCTAGATAGTATCGTGTATCAACAACAGTCAGAGAGATCGCCTGTGGCTGATGCCACTGACGATAGCAAGACGATTATTGTTGTTGTTATTTTTATTATCAGGCTAGTAATACTATCTAATTAATATTAGGGTGTATTTGTGCCCCTGCAGCACAAAAGCAGTGTCACGTCGCTGGGGTATATTTGTAGCAATAGCCAACAATACATTGTATGGGCCAAAAGTAATGAAACATATGTGAATGGCTGCAATACCGGCGTATTTAAGAAGAAGAGTGTAAGCAGCACTACACACCCACATGAAAACAGCAGCGCAACCGATGTTTATCAGAGCAAAGGCAACGGATCATAATCATATGAATTCAGAGGACAGGAGCGTGGCTTGTCTTGAAAAATAGTTTGGTGTTCGTCATAGGAGAAGTCACACTGCAGGACACATCTTCTGACTGCCAGAAGGAGGTCAAATTTGTTCGCAACGGCCATTAATCGGCTGTCGGTGAACTTGTCAAACCGTAACTTCACGTAACTTTGAGAACATATGATAAATAAAACTGTATTTAACAAATATTGTGAGTACAGTAATGACACCTTTTCAAATTTGATGTTTATGCTTTTGGAAATAGATCTTTTCTATCCCTATAATCAGGCTTATTATTTAGCATTTTAGGCTCATTTTGACCACAAAGTATACGCTTTCTGCAAATGTAATTGATTAGTTTATTATTTTTGATTAATCTATCATTCGGGGTTGTGATGGCGGAAATTTCAGGAATGTTTAATACTGTGTGCAAAACAACCCTGCAACCTTATCAAGCCTTGTTATACAGTGCACACAAACAGTGTTACTTTGTTTTAACGTGTATAGTTAGTATGTGAAACTGATAACGGTGTCTCTTTTGATAATTGTTGATAGTAGCGCTCTGCTCTCGTCCAAGTTCTTCATGGCTAAAGTAGCAGCGCACGAGTAACCAAGTCATCAGTAGCTCGCAGTGCCCTCTACTGGTGGAAATAATCACAACCACACGATCGCCAGCTGGCTATATTGGTCGGACTCTTACAGTGTCTACATTTTCGGGGACAGCTCCAGTCGGGGACAGGACACCAAAATCTGGGACGTCTGGTCACTCTAGCGTATGAAGATTCTTTATCAATCATTCTGAAGAAACCCCTGTTGTTTTTATTAGTTGAGAATTATGCTGCTTATTGAAGTGTGGAAACTGTGATGCAGGATCTGTTCTCAGGATTCACCGATGAACAGAACGTTTGAAGAGCACCATTTATTTGAAGTAGAAATCTTTTGTAACATTATACATGTCTTTTCTGTCATTGTTAATCAGTTTAATGCTTCTTGGATTAATAAGAGTAGGGATTACGTGTAAAAACCATTCAATACATTTTATTTAAATAAATTCTCATTGTATAGTATTTCAGCACTTTAATTTGTAAAAAATATCCTTTATTTTCCTAATCTTTTCTGTCACTTGTATTTCTTAGTGTGTGTGTGTGTGTGTGTGTGTGTGTGTGAGTGTGTGTGTGT